ATTTCAACTTCTTTCAAGAAAAATATTTCTCTATTTAAATAATGTCAGTTGACAGTTTTAGAATATCTGATTCAATATATGATTCGTTTTCCTTTTGGTTCCATAACTCAGAGACATCTGAGATTTAGGCTATTAATAAAATTGATTACTATTCTTTTAACATTAATATTGGAGACACTGTGACTAGCGTGGGAATGTGCTAGTCGAAACAATAAAACGAAACTTTTCACGTCAGTATTCTAGCGATTCTTTCAATATGATTTAATTATTTCGTCAAAAACATTGACCTACTTTTTTGGCTTCCTTTGGAATCAATAGCTGGTTTCCAATCGTTGACTGCTCGTGATTTTAGAAAAAACTTTTAGTTGTAAACTTTTCAGATCAGGAATTAATTCTATATATATTGGTATCTCTGTATCGATGGAGTTTTCTGACAGAGCAGATTTTTATGTTCTAATTATTTAATGCAGACATGTGATATGATTAGAGACTGGGTATCTTTGTTATCTTAGTTTAGTGTCATACCAGCATAAAATAGAATTTGATCAAATATATAAATATTATTCGCAGCCGATCTGCTTAGTATAAACCTGCACTAATTGCAAAACAAAGACTCGAGAGAATTTAGAAAGTATTACATGTTTATAGAGTAAGACTGTTTCAATTTCTTTTGCAAACTGTTGTACTTATTCAAATACAAAAAAATTAAACAAAAACTCTTTTTCGTCCTTTTCTTTATCTTTACTATCTTCATCATAGAAAATAACATTCATTTGTTTAGCTACTTTAACGCGTCCTCAAAAATCGAACTCAGCTCAGGAACGTTGGAACGAGCTGAAGCTTGAAGGATATGTTGGGCTACCAAGGAGCATCTATGATAAAATTTTCAGCCCTAAGTCGTTTCATTTAAAGGAGATATTGACCAAGCAAGACCCTAAAACACCTAATTTGGCAATCCAAATTTCTCTGTAATGGTTCGTTCAATGTATTTGTATCCTTTTGTTTGAAAGTGTATGTCAAGATGTAGAGCATGACATCATCCTTTTGTTTGAAATTCTCCCATTTTTAGCGCGAAAAAGACATCACAAGTTCAATGACTAAAAAAACTGTCAATAAATGGTGACCAAATTATATCAATAAATATCTTGAGGATGTGGCTGGATGTGACAGTGGCTGTGCGTGTGTTGCCAAGAAGAGATTCATATTCATCTCCATCCACATACACCCAAACAACGGTTCCCGGTTCCGGTTTTGAAATTCAAAGAAAAACCGGTACCGGTTCGGTTTTCGGTGCCAGGTTTTGTGGAACCGCAGACCCCTAGTCTCAGTACGCATCTAAACGATCTTGATATTTTACTCTCCTCTTATTTACCGCATGTTGTTATTCTTACAAGTATTGGATCTCCAATTCGTAAAATGCCCTCTGTGTCTAACTATTATTGGCATAAACAAATAGGATCGAATTCATTTGGTGGTGTTATGATATTGATACATAGTTCCATTAACACAAAAGTCATACACGCAGTTGAAAACTTTATTCTTGTTGAACTAAGAGTAGCAATGTCCTCCATCCTAATTGCAGCAGTATACGTACCCCCAAAGGCTAAACTTCCCTTTGAAGAATTTGAAAATTTCTTGATAAAAAATTTTATATATTCGATGATTTTAATGCTAACCATTCTCAGTAGTTATGCCCAACTAATAGTAGTAGTGGAATTGTACTAAATGAATGGATGGAAAAAAAATGGATACGTAAATATTTTCCCTACTACATCAACTTCTAAAAGATCCAATGCTATTATTGATTTTGCGATTACCCAAGATAAATCAGGTTGGACGTGTGATGTGATTCATGAAGGAACATCAGATCATTTTCCCATCATTTTTGCTATGCCATTTACTCTATCTGCAAAAGGTTTCTTTCATAAAATAAACTGGAAATTTTTTCTTTTATTCTCTCGTGTTTATTTACATATTGGAATGCTTCTGTATATGATATAAACGAGGAATCTTTTTTCTCTCTTTTTTCTAACTTCCGTACTTCTCTGTTGGATAGAACAAGTACATATTTACAGGTCACGCAGTATCGATCACCATGGCCACGCTTTCTAGTATTGTTAGCGAAAGAAGTAAATCGAAAAACAAAAAAAATATAGAAGAACACGCTTTATCTGCCACCTACATAAGTACATCGCTGCGAAACATATATATCAAATTGAGAGGGCAAATTTCGAACATGAAAAGAGAGAAAAACAAAACAAATTTATATCGAGGGGTCTAAATATATGGCAATAGGCTCGTCCTTTCTTTCATTCATATACACCAGCTTTTCAAGGACTAACACTAAATAGAAAAATTGAAAGAGATTGCCAAAAAATAAGTGATAAATTAGGTATTTTCTTTGAACAACATTTTGCTCTTCCAGTACCAGATAAATCTAATGAAATACATAAACAATTTCTCATATCATATGAAAATGTTGCATATATGCCTAACATGCCACTTGACCCTAGCTCATACACACACAAGTATACACGAATTGGAAAAATTTTTCTCCAAAGAAATCCTTAGATAGCATGAAAACATCTGCATACTTACTGAAAAATATTCCAATTGAATACCTACATATTTTTACGGTTCTTTTTAATAAGTGCGCATTAAAAGGAGAGGTTTTTCATGACAGTAAACATACAAAAGTTGTCTGTCTGTTCAAAGACGGTCTATATCCAGAAGAAAATAAACTTCGCCCTATTTCTTTACTATCGAATATAGGAAAATGGTACGAACGTTGTATACACGATCAAATATTAAAGTGGTACATAGAAAAAAATATTTTTGTAGATGAACAATCTGGATTTACGTCTCATCGCAGATTACAAATCAGAATTTTAACTTTATGTGAGGATATACGTCTAACAACAGCAGCATGTAACAGACCTGCACTTGTCATATTCATTGATTTTCTCTCAGAATTTGATAGACTTTATTATCCAGCACTTATTTCGAATCTTATTGAGCTAGACTTGCCTTTACCTCTTGTCCGTTGGATATATGAATGGTTACAAGGGAGAACAATGACAATTCATCACGAAGACTATATCTAAAACGATCGAAATTTTTTCAGAAGCACTTCAAGGTTCAGCTTTATCAACAACACTATTTCGTCTACATATCCACTTTATAGCTAAAATACTTGCTCGTTTTTCCTCACATTTGTTCACAGATGATCTCGCATTAGTAATAAAACGTTTAATTGAAAATAAATTATCAAAAAATATAATGGATCTCGAAAAACAGGCAGAAATAGCTATGACAATACTAGAAAAATTCTCGAAAGATCTGTTGCTTCCAGTAAATGTTAAAAAAACAAAAATGATGCTAATTCATAATGTTGTTGCACCATCACATCCATAAGGTTTTTTCGAAAATGAAAGAGTAGAAATAGTTTCATTATTTAAATATTTAGGTATTGAAATACGCACTAAAATAGGATGGGAACCTTTCATTAAAACGAGGTTATCTATAATTCGGAATATATATACTGCATTGAGAAATATGTTTCGAACAATTCCTGTTGAACAATATATGATATTAGAAAAAGACTTTTTTGTGCATTTGCATTACCTCATTTTTTTTTGGTTATTTGTAACTTGGTTCATTTTTACAGAAAATCAAAAATAAGAAATTGAGCATTTTTATTGTACAGGTATCCGTTTGATATATATAATCTATGGGGATGGAATGACTATGTTACATTGGTTCTTGCCCGGAAAAATCGCTTCTCGACTATGTGTATGACTACTGGAAAAAGTTTATAAAACATCTAAATGAGTCCTCAGAAGGAAGCGAATATAGGGAGATTTGGGAAGTCTATTTGATTAGTAAATCATCCGACAGAAGTTTCTATAAGTCTATGGGACTAAGGAAAAACAACTTTTTTATGAATCGTTATACACAGAGGGCATATCATACGAATTTGGACGTTTTCTCGTTATTTTGCGTACATGAAAATCAAAACGATTACTTCAAAAAATCACTTTACTATATTGAAAGTTTCATTTATAAATATATGACATAAAAATTCCTCTTTCCCCTGGTATTTTTTATTTTTTCTCTTTCTTTCTTTTCTTCTCTTAACAGAGCTAAGATGTCAAATAAGAGGTGCGATCAACTTATTTAATGTAATTTACTTTTTCTATTATAATTGTTAATTGGTAACCCTAATGGGATCAATGAAATTGTGATGTCAAAAAAAGAAAAAAAAATACTCGAATTGTGATATTTTTCAAGACTTCTAGATCTTTATTCTCTTTCTAAGAGTTCCAAGTTCAACTCTATCCAGACGAAGGAGTTATGTGCATGGATGGATTAAATGGACATCTGCGAATGAGATATGCATGAACAGCTACGTCAATATAAAGGATGTCACTTTATTCACATGTTAAGAATAAGTTACACAGAGATGTCCCGAAAAAAAAGTGAGTTCGACGTGTGAAGTCGACGCTTAGAGATAACGTTTTGATCTCTATTCATCCAATTAGTACGCATCTAATTACTATTTATATAATTAGTATTTGATCCCAATACTAGAATATTACATGTAATGACTTTATGCGATTTCCGACAATATTTCTACAGGATTCTACCTAATACGATTCGATTGTTCGATTCATCCTTCTGGATAGTTTAAATTTCATAATAGAGCATCGTCTTAAAATCGTAAGTCTCATTGTATTTCAAGAATTTTACCAATAACTCACGTATAAAGAGATGCGAATGATTTTAATTGAAAAATCTAATCTATTTCTATATGATACTTGAAATTTGACTGATTACGCGGTACTACATTGAATGCCATTGTCCTCCACAGTTCAAAAAAATTTTATCATTTGATTGGTTAGATAAATCTCCACTAAGAATATAAATGTTCTGTTCTGTTCTTTACATATAAAATTGAATCGTGTCATTTGTCTAAACTTTTTTTTTAAATAGGTTTTTTAATGGTAAATTTTTATAATATTTCATAGTCTATCATATCATCTAAAAAGCAAATTCTTATGTTTAGGATTTCTCGAAATTTTTCGATGATGAATTCAATGTTACTGACTGGCTTAATCAAGCATTTCGATTACAAAAAGAATCGAATCAAAATATTGATAATTATACAGGAACATTAATAACAAAATTACAAATGTATATTCAAGAAATGAATAATTCTATTGAAGACACAAGTCAACAAGCTATTCAACAATTTCCTCGGTTAATATACACAATTGTACTTAATTTTACTGACAAAAAAATAAATGTTTCTTTTTCTTTTTTTGAATTTTTATCATAGAGTTCTTCGTGAAATTGATGTTCTTAGACATGAAGCAACTTTATTACAAGAACAAATGCGTACAGTACGAGGTGATATTCAAAAAGTTAATCAAGATACAGCTGATGGAATGCGAAATTTAATCCAACTTGATTTAGTTAAAAATCGTATTCAATCAGCATCAAAAGCATTACAAGAAGCAGATAATTGGGTTACACTATCAGCTCAAATTGAAGATACATTTGACTCGAAAGATACTGTACAAGTATGAAATCAATTTCTGACTATAAGCTGATTAGAAGATTCTTTTTTTTTTTGTTAAAGTTGACTGAATTTTTGGAGACAGATTTGAGGCTCTTTTTTTTTCTTTCGGTAGTCAGTGAACGACAAGGACAAGAAAAGATTAGAGAAAAATGAAAATTTTTCAAGATTGAAAACGAGTAGTCCTACTTTGAATGAGCAATTGAAAAATATACTTTATTGTTTTTATTTATTCTAATTCTTTAGATAGCAACAAAATTAATAGCTATGCAACAATCATTGAAAATTCTTACTGATGTTCCTGATTATGCTGATCGTGTTAAGCGATTAGAAACATTAAAAAATCGTCTTGAAGCATTGATGAGTCCAACAGTAGTAGCTGCTTTTAATAGACAAGATGTTGGTATGGATATTTAGATATATAATTATTATTCATGTTTTTTTTTTAATTTTACAAAACTGGATAACAGTTTTTTTTTGGATGATTTTGTTTTAAGTATCAATCTCTCTCTCATAAAATTGACTATTGATATATAACAATCTTAAGTAGTTTATTTTCTTTCGGCAATCTTTTAATTTTAGTTATTATTTTCTAAAAACAAAATATTTATGAATAGACATACTTCTTTTATGATAAGGTTCAGATGAATTCTTTATCATTTTTATATAATGAGTAATTTTTCTTTCAAAATATTAAATTCGAAAGAGTGATTGACGATGTACATCATAGCAGATGATTTAAAGTTTCTCAAAACAAAACAATTTTTCGATTTTGGAAGATTATGTTCTGAAAAATTTGCAGCATTAGACACTCTTCAATATGATATTGAGAAAAAAAGATAATCATTATATAAAAATGATGAAGAATTCACATGAAGTCTGTCATACAATCAGCATTGCACTTCATAAACATATTGCTTTTTTAGAAAGCTCTAGTTATTAGAATATAGCTCGTGCTTTATTGTTTCGATTTATATAATTTTCTGTCTTTTGAACAATTATGGAAACACAATAATAACTTACTCTAAAAGGTCGTCCAGCAACTATGCACTACTTTAGATTGTTATATATTTAATTTCACGATAACTCAACATTTAGAGAGAAAATTTTCTTTGGATATAATATAAACGCTGGAAACGAAGAATACTTCTGTCTGTCAGCTAGAGTGCTGATTAGCAGCACACTCATTAGGTTGATATCTTAGCTGCAACTGATACCAACTGTAGTTCGAGGCAGAAGACAGACTTGACACAGTGTTCTTTGCACCCGATCGCTTAACCTCCTTGTATACAATGTCAAATCACGTGGGCAACTGTATATTACAACTAAGTCAGCATGCTACTGGACGAATGATCCGAAAAGTGTAGCCACTCATGAGTGAAAGTCTTTAGAAATTCCCTTCCAATTTCAATGATTTTTGTCTAGAGATACTATGTAATATTCTAGTAAAAACACTAAATGAATATGGGATCTTATTGAAATTTGGCTAAACTATTTAATTTCTAATATGTCTATTTTCTAGAGTCCCATGTTTTCGAAAAATTTATATTTTCGAATTTTGCTATGAAACTAGCTGCACTTAGACAAATCAAATAGACTAATGCTCATAAAAAAAAAATTTATGTTGCACACACTATCTCAGAAAAAAGATTTATATCTTAAAAATTCCATATCTCTGAGAGACTTTATTCAAAATTTCTAATTTTCATAAGAAAGTCAGTCTAGTTCAGTTGTCTATGTGCAGAAAATTTCTCATCAAAATTCAACATACAAATTTTCCGAAAACCTAAGGCCTCTAAAAAATAAATATTTTAAAAATTTGATAGTGTAGTCAAATATCAATACAAATCCAAATCCTTTTAGAGTTTTTATTATAACATTATGCAATATTTATAGGCAAAAACGAGGCACCAAAAAAAAAGGTAATTGAGTCTCTGAAGATGTTCCATCGTCAGTCATGATGACCTGAAATGCTGACTATTAATTTGGCATAAATCATATCTCAAGAAAGTTAATTTAATGAGAAAGGCATACTTAAAATAAAATCTTTTTAAAACAAAAACTGTTCAATATTGTACATAAAAATTATCTATAGAAATGGCTCGATCATTTGCACAAGTATTTCAATCAATGGATCGTGCAGAACAATTAGAAGATTTATATGTAACATCTGTCAAAGTAATAAATTTTTCTTTTTGTCTCTAGACTAACATATTTTTAATTATTCATTTCGTATTTTAACCGAGAACAACAATCAAAACATATGCAAATTCTTATTTTCTATTTTAGACTCGTCTTGATGGACGTATTAGAGAAATAATTGATGGTACCAATGGCGAACATGAATCAATTTTTATTGCTATTTATGATTATTTATTGAATGTTTGGCAAGATGAGGTACAAAAACAAAAAAGAATTCTATATATAGTAGTTTTTTTTAATTATTTATTTTTTTGTTTTTGTTAAAGATACGTTGGTCTACAAAAATTTTTAATCGTCCAAATCGTGTTACACTATCAATCATATTAAATGGTCTTAAAATTTTTCATAGCCAATATAAAAATCAATTTAATACAGAACTGCAACATCAACAAACATCATCATCAAAGAAACGGCTCGATATATTAATTGCGTGTAAACGAGTAAGTTATAGAAAAAGTAAAAAAAAAAACAAAAAAAGAAAAAAAAAGTGCAAAGCGACAAATTAAAATCTACGAAGTATTTAGAATAAAATTAAGCATGTGTTATAAACATATGCGTAAATCTAAGAGTATTTTTTATTTTTGCTCTTTTTAATTCATATTATTTTGTTGCTTCTGTTTTTGATGCTTCTCGTTGTTTAAAAAAGCATAGAGAATTGTTATCTCGATCACCAATAATTAATGTTTGATCACGCTTCATTGCTAAACCACTAGGACCTTTTAATTCTTTACAACGCCAGTAATTGATTATTTCATTATCTTCATCATTTTGAATATTTGCTCGTCTTTCAACTGAACGTATTTCAGGATCTGAATAACAAACAGTTAACCAATTACCATCATCATCAAGTAATATTCCATGTGGAACATTTAATTTAGCTTCAGCATTTGGTGGTTTATTACGTGAATCATGATCATAAATTTTTTGTATATAACCCATTTTATCAAATACATAAACAGCTCCACGATAATTTGGTACATCTTCACATGTAACAACACATTGATTGTTTGCATTAATAGCTACAAAACTTGGTTTTACTTTTTTTTGTGTTTGTTCCCATCGTGTTAAATACCAACGACGATTAACAAAACGAAAATCGGATGAAAAAACACATATTCGATGATTCCATGTGTCACACATATAAATTTCTCTAAAGATAAATAAATATTTATATATGTATATAGATATATATATATTTATAGAAACAAAATATATCTAAATAAATAATAATGTACCCGTTCGTTGGATCGACAGTAATACCACGCGGTAGATTAAATCGATTATTCGCATGACCACTTTCTTCAGCACCTAATTTTTGTATAATTTTTTTCTTTTCTAAATCATATAAACATACTGAATGAGCTTTTGTTACATAAATATGTTGTTTATGATGTGGTCGTGGTGCAACACATTCTGGTGTTGGGAAATCACCACGATATATGTGTAATGCACGTCCATCAGTATTTGAATCAAACATAATTAAACGATTATTATAATGATCACAAGCTATGATTTCTTCAGCTTCTGTATTTAATGTACATATACCATATGTATGCGCCATGGACATTGTTGTTGTTTGACCTGATGTTGGATTTTCATATTGAAATTTTTTTATTGTAAAATACGGTTTTACTTCATAATTTGTTATTGATGGTAAAGAAGAAATTGATGTTGATGAATAAGTTTTTGATACTTCATTTTCTTCATCACTTACATCTTCTTCAACAGTATCTATTGATGGTGACCACCCAAGCGGTAAACCAGGTAAAGAACCTGGTATTATTGAAGGACGACGTTTAGTTAAATCGCTTTCCATGGGTATATATTTATTTTGTAAATAAGTAACAATGGTAGAGTTCTCGTTATTGCATCGTTATCCTCTTCCTTTTATTTGTGTCAGTTTTTGGTCGATTAGTTTGATAAATGGAGTATAGGATGAAACTGGTGGCACTACTAAGAACAAAGCAAAGCTAAAATCTATCAACATAACTCGTCATGACAAGACATCTTTCCGCCAAAAGTTGACATGAAAGAAAGAAACAAACAAGCAAAAGCTTACTGTTATCATTATTGTCAGAAAAAACTTATTTAGTTAAGAGTCAATTTATAAAACTAGTAGAAGCAAAACAACAAAAGAGAAAAATAACAACGAAATAAAAGTTTTATTGTATTTCCCATTTGCTAATTTTTCTATTTTGAGATATATCGCAATTAGGTCAGATGCTGTTTTCTATCTAATTATGTTTTGTTTTTCATTATATTTATCTAAATTCATTTTCTCAAAGGAGAATTATATCCTTTTTCTTAATTCAACCTGTCAACACATGAAATGTTTTGCCGCGTGTTGTTCGTAGCAAACATCCTTCTAAATTGTTATCTCTATATATGTCTATATGTATGTAAAGGAATGATAGCCAATGTATCGTATAATGCCAATGAATAGGTTATGTGTCGAAAGAAAAAAAAAAACGAGGATAATCAAAAAGAAATCAAAGGGCAGCTTGTGTTGAAATCTATATCCGATGATGACATTTATTTATTATGTCCTGTATATAATGAGTTTGCTGTCTCATTTATAATATTTTAAAAGAAATTAAAACAAAAACAAAAACAAAAACAATATATTTATTATTTTAGGTTACCGATCGATTTGGTAAATCTCTTCAAAATCAATTACAACCATTATATCAAAATGTATCATCTCAAGGGACACGATCATCGAATGGTATATTAAAAAAAACAAACGAAAATTTACTAAATGAATAATCTAATTAGAATCTTTCTCGACTATTAAAAAAAAAAAAGTTGATGAGTTCATATTTGCGTAGTATACAAAAAAAAAGAGATTCTTGACAAGATTAACTTATCCGATTGTCAACTATTGATAAGTAGGAAATCTTATACATGAAGAAATAAGAAAGACCTTCATATGAATTTCTATTATGATATCATAATATATCTATATTAACAGATCTTATCTTTATTCTGATTCTGGTTTATTTAAAAAGAAACATTTATTCTTGATTGTTGTTGTTGTTTTTTTTCTGTATTAGAAAATCTTTCATCATCAACAATTGAATTATTTGTTTTTGAATTATACTCACTTTATACGGATGCTTTTCAAAATTATTCTATATATGAACAAGAACAACTTACAAATGCTCTCGATGCAATTCAACTCGTATGTATTAATTGCTTGGCAAAACTTGTTTGTTTCTATGTCGATCTAGCTTTTTGATTGGAGAGTGGATATGTGCAAAAATAAGCAAAGATATGCAGAGCAACATAATCCATGAAAAACATACAATTAAAGGAAAATATTTCTTCATTCTAATAGAATCTGTGTCAGATGTCGTATGTCACTCTGGTCTGTTTTTCAACAATACTATATATAGAATGTAGCCAAAGAAGACCTATCGGCCATTTCGATTAGAATAAAATTTATCTTATTTAGCAAACACTCAATAATTTAGACAATAATTGAGTATTATCTATTCATACTAAAATCAATCAAAAACAATATATATATATATATATGAATTCGTATTTTCATTTAATATATAAGAATTCAGTATTAGAAAAATTCCAGCTATTAAGAAAACAAATAGAACTTATTTTTCATGTGTTTTCTTTGTATCATTTGCAAATGGAATAGTTTTATTAAGTGAATTGTATAGTTTGTCTCTAGATTTTATAATATAAACATAACGCATTTGCTGATTTTTCTCAGTGCTAAATTTCATACCATGGGCAACATGTTTTGGTAGTAACATATAGCTGTAAACTTTAAAGGAAAACTCTTTATTTATGATATGATATTTTCTAGGATACCAGTGACACTTCGTCGGGTATTCAATTACTCATGTCATCAATATCTAATGTATTTTCATTAGCAAATGAGGTAAATTAAATGAATTAATCAAAAACAAAAAACAAAACAAAAAAAAAACAAAAAATCTGTAACTGATTTTCTGGTTTTTCTTTTCAATTAGAGTATTGACAGATGTAAACAATTAACTAATGGTCAAACAATTATTAGTCTTCTTAGTGTTCTTCAAGTATGTGAAACAAAAAGAAAAAAAAAATAACAAATTTGCTGTTGTCTTTCTATGAATAAGATATGTTTCCTTTAGAAATTTTTTACTGCATATATTGGAGAATTAAAACGTGTTGTCAATAATATTCGTGAAAGAAATTCAAAAATATTAGGTACTGAAGATTGGGAATTATTTCAACAAACCATTCGTATCTTAGAAATATGTGGTAAAATTTCTTAAGATTTTTTATTACAAACGAAAAAAAAAAAAAATTTCCACTTTTTTTAATCGAATAAAAAAAAATAACAGGTGAACTTATTCTTGCTTATGAACAATTTGAATCATCATTAGCTCAACAAATGTTACAAATGATTAATGAATGGCCAAATAAACCAAATAAGTAAATTTCTATTGATCTATACTTTATGTTTCATAAAAATACTAAGTTTTTCTTTTTCTCCTATAGACATAAACAACATCATGATATATTTGATTTAGCAATTGAATCATTTATTAATAAAACATCATCATCAGATAAACATGATTTTGTATCAATTACAAATGCACTTGAAAGTAAAAACAAAATTTATTTATCAATTGAATGTTTTCTTTATATATATATATATATATAGATGCAACTTATAGTCTTTTTCCGGATATACCAAAATTATTGAGTAAATTTAGTGATGAATGTCATCAATTTAGTTTTGATGTTGTCTTTTTACCAATTCATACACTTCTTAATGGTTTTTCAAAATTACCAGTAAATTATAAAAAACATTAAAATGAATTTTATTATAGATGCTTTTGTTTTTTTTTTTTCTTTAAAGATTTGGGCAAGTGAAAGTCGAAGTACAATTGTTTCAGATTTACCTTCATTTAGTCTTGTTCCACAAGAAAATATTACAAAAGTGATTTGATTTTGAATTCTTTTTTTTTTTTTGTTATATTTAATTTTAATTTTATTTATAGATTGGACAATATCTTTTAATGCTTCCACAACATTTTGAACCATTTAATTTACATGATAATCGACAATTAGGAATTGCATTTAAAAAAGGAAAATTACCTTATCTTGAAGATAAAGGTATGATAATTTTGATTTTCATGATTAAAGAATTAATATTAAAGAGAAAAAAAAGTATTACATCACTAGAAATCTTGAAAATTCCATGCAAAATAGAATCTATCAAACGAGTAACAAAAAATCAGTTAATATACGAAAGATGATAGGTAAAATATTATCTAATTGAAGGTGCAGAATCAAATAGTAGTCAAGGAATTTTTCTTTCCAATAAATTCTATAATTATAGTAATAAGAGTGTTAAAACAACCGTATCATGATAGACTCTGACGATGTTATTTATTTTTGGTTAAAGTAATATTTTCGAAAAGATTGATCATACTTGAAGATTTACGTATCAGTGATATATGATAAAATATTTGAGTTTAGTTGTCAGATAGATTTA